ATCCTTACCACTTCCATTTAACATTGTTCTGGAGTTTGCAGCCAGGGCAACTGTGTTGTGCTAGGCTTAGTTGCTCAGTTGTTTCCCACTCTTTGTGACCCCATGGACTGTATCCTGCCAGGTTCCTCTGTCCATGGGGATTCACCAGGCAAGAATACTGGAGTGGGTTGCCATGCCCTCCTCCAGGGAATCTTCCCACCCCAGGGATCAAACCCAGGTCTCCCACATTGCAGGTGGATTCTTTACCATCTGAGCCACCAGGGAAGCTCAGGGCAGCTAGGCAAGAGAATGAAATAAAAGCAGCTAGACTGGAAAAGATGAAGCAAGACTGTTTCTATTCACAGATGACATGATATTATACATAGGAAATCATAAGCAATGCACTAAAATACTATTAGAACTATTAAATGAGAACAGCATGGTTGCAGGGTATGAGATAAAAATACAAAAATCAACTGTATACTAGGGCTGCTAAGTCACTTCAGTCGTGTCCGACTCTGTGTGACCCCATAGATGGCAGCCCACTAGGCTCCCCCACCCCTGGGATTCTCCAGGCAAAAACACTGGAGTGGGTTGCCGTTTCCTTCTCCAATGCATGAAAGTGAAGTCGCTCAGTCATGCCGACTCTTAGTGACCCCATGGACTGCAGCCTACCAGGCTCCTCCGTCCATGGGATTTTCCAGGCAAGAGTACTGAAGTGGACTGCCATTGCCTTCTCCCCAACTATATACTACATACTTGCAATAAGCAGTCTGAAAATAAAATTAAGAAAACAACTGCACTGAAAATACTATCAAAAACAATGACAGAAATAAATTTAACGAAACAAATTTTGGGGAGTAAGGTATGGACTACTAGGTATAAAATAACCTATAAGGATACAACATGGAATATAGTCACTATTTTATAATAACCATAAATAGAGAATAACCTTTAAAAGTCATGAATCACTACACTGATCTGTAACTTATATAATGTAGTATAGCAACTATACGTCAATTAAAAAAAAAATAACCCCAAAATCCTTTACTTAAAAAAAAAAAAAAGGAACGAATGAAATATGAATAAATTTAACAAATGAAGAGATCTGTACACCACAAACATACTGTCCCTGGATCCTTCTGTTTAGCTAAACAAAATAACTATCTGGTCTTAAAATGCATACAAATATTTTATTATTTTTTGAAATATTTTATTTTTAATAGAAGACAAACTTTTCTCAGCTGATGTTCTTTTCCTGTTTTAAATCTATGCTTCTCAACTTTAATATGCACATAAACTAATGATTCCATGAAAATGCAGATCATTAACTATAACTAGGGGTGGAGCTAAGGTTCTTCATTCTTTTAATTAATTAACTCATTTAGCTGCAACCAGCCTTAGTTGTGGCACATGGGATCTTTGATAAGGCATGTGGGATCTTGGTTGTGGCATGTGGGATCTAGTTCCCTGACTAGGGATTGAACCTTGGCCCCCTGCATTGGGAGCACTGAATCTTAGCCACTGTATCACCAGGGAATTCACCAGGTTTTTCATCCGTAACAGCTCCCAGACGATTCTAATGTTGCTGGTTCTGAGACTATATTTTGAGTAGTTTTTAAGTGCCTGTAGTTACATACAACTGTCCTTGTTCACCAGAAAAAAGCGAATGAGAGGAGTGAAAGTCTGATGAGCGGTCTAAGTTCTCCATAGCAAGGCATGGCATATTCCCTGCTGACAATTAAGGACAGACACTCGCCACCAGCCTTCCATTCTGGTCCCCACTGAGTACCAGGAAAGATGCAGACTTTGGCAGCCAGTCAAACAGACCGAGGCTAAATCCACGGGAAAACTCTTTTAATACCTGCTACACAAAGACCATCTCAAAGAATGTTAACAATCAGCTCTTCCTCTCTGAATCTTTTCTCTTGTCTCTTATTCCTTCTTTTGGCCAGTGTCTCCTAAGTGTCTCTGGGGGATCAATGGTGGTCCCTGGCAATCAACTGGTTTACTATAGACAATTTGGTTAAAAAAAAAAGTGATAAAAGCTTTGATCACAAACATTTCATAAACTGAAAAGATTAATTATGACTTTCAAGGAAATTCTTTTAGGTTTTTAACTGTTATGTTCCAAGGGTCACATATGCTTTACAAGGTTAAGAGGAGACTGACTGTTTCAGCTAACAAACTTCGACATCATGAGTTGTTTACACTGGCTAAATATATTACTGTGCTGTTGTTCTTATCAGTGTGTTGTCTCTAACTTAAGTAATCAATGCCTCAAAAGCATTCACTGAAGGGTAGAAGTGATGAAAACATACTTGACTCAAAATGATAAATAGTATGATCTTACACAGTGATAACAGTAGGATTTTAGAGTAGGCTGTGACCAGTGAATTATAAGTTATTAGTCTGCACTAGGGGACCTCCTTATTCCCATCAAAGCACAACACATTTTAAAACAGGGACTAAATAATTATAAAACAGTAATAAGAAGCCATTGAAGTCTTCATACAATTTTTAACCACTGTAGTAAACCAACTGAAACTTGCATTACAAATTTTGTCATTGACAGCAAAGATTAAAAACTGTAAAGGAACTTTAACATATTTTAACAAAATCAAGTGTAACTGTAGTCATCTGCAAAATTAATGACAAATATGCTCAGAAAGAAAACAATCTAATGGTATATTTCTGTATCAGATGACACTACTGGACATTATATAACAGGTGTCATATTCAGTGAGTAAGAACAGTATCACAGATGTATGCTCTTAAATATTTTATGAATGACTACAAGAAACCACTAGTATTCAAAGTATGAATCAATTCTTTGGCATATATATAACCTGTAAATAATGAAATAAAACTTTAATTCTGATTATCAATGAAAACATGCTTTAGAGAGGGATTTTCTTTTAACCAACAATTATCTTTGAACCTTAACTTGAAAACATACACTAGGATCAACATAGCCAAAAGCACTAGTCATGTGTAGCCAGGAACATTATGGCACCTAAAAGTCAAATTCACACAAGGCTTCATTTATAGGCAACAGCTGGCGTTTGACAGTTAAATTTTCCATTGAGTCTGTTAAAGATTGCATAGAAAATTGTGAATATGTACTCAACTGCAGCCCCTGAGCAGATATCCTCAGCATGTTATGTCAGGAAAAAAGAAGTAAGCACAACACTCTGCTTTTTTATCTTGTCAGGAGGAATGATGCTACCAAAAGCTATTCAAATGAGGATATACATTTCTACCCCATGACACCGATAAGGTCAGTAAAAAAATTTCTGTGATTATCTGTGGCTTACTCAAGTGGCAGATCTCTATGAGACGTATAGTATAGTGAATAGCTTGAACCCATCATAGCTGAAATTCTTCAGGATAAAATACAAAGACCAAATCATGATACACACAGCTTAACCATAGTTTGACTTTTCCAACATCTAGCCATGCTCTATCCTTGTTGTAGAATGGAACAGGTGTCTTTATTATTAGTATACTTAGAAAAATGTATTCAATTACCACACTAGACCTAAAAAAATGTATTTCCTAGAACTGAAATACACCAGAAGGAAAGATTTACCCAGTGCCACTTTCCGAACTGAAATAGTCAACTTCATTGCTGAGTGCCATACATTTGTCAACTCAACATTGTAGGTAGTTTTCAGTGAGATTTCTTGCAATAATTTTGGTATTCATCCATTTGAATATCTAAAACATCTAGAAGAATCATCCTATATTTGCTGCTGAAACATCCTATACTTGGTTGTTGGAAATATTCAACAATCTATAGTTGAAAAGTGGGATTATCTGATTTAGCAGAATGAGGAGGACAAGAAACTGCAGCTTTGGCTTCAGTGAGCCAGGTATCAATGTGGTGAAAGATTGCAGCAGTAACTGCTTTTCATGATGTGTAAAAGACCCATCAGTGAGATCCACAAAAGCTAAATGTTCAAAAAATGGTACTTTCTCTACTACACTATTTTTCTTTCACAGAAAACTATCACTTCTTCCTATGCATTATGTTAGCGAAATATAGACAACTATGGAAATTTTTATTGCCCTTATTATTAATCTTCTCACATTAGAAAAGCACATCGTCTGCATTTATGTAGCTTTATTAAAAAAAAAAGTCTGATTTCAATATGTATAGCACCTAGAAAAAAATAACATATCTAATAATTTCCAATTTCTCCTTGAAACATTCCTCCACAAAGTCATTTTTGCCTTCGGACCTTCCGAAAAACCAAACTGCTTTCAAACACTTCTTGATTGTAGTCAAGGATGATATTAAAAATGTTTAATAACATTTTTATTATATGGCATGGCATAACCACCAGAGAGAACGACACCAGTTCGTAATCACATGGCTGTATTGAAACATGCTAACTAAATACCAGTGTTAGTTACAGCTTCCTTTAAACACTTATTTCAACTCTAGCCTCATTCTCAAAGACTATTGGTTATTTCTCACTGGCCAATTCACAGAAAAAGGAAAGTAATTTTCACAAAAGACAGCCATATAAACTGGATTCCAAAGATGAATTTAACACTGTATTTTATTAAATATTTAATGTCCTTACTTTTATTCCTTAATATAAAAATTAAGAATAAGTATTAGAGTAACTATTGTTTTCTTGCTCTCACACCACTGGTTTCCAGAGAATGAGGCTCCTTAGCTTTTTATTATAGTTGTGTTACTTGATTTTATCTACATAACTAGATATCCAAGTTCTTTATCCATTCAACCAAATGAAAACATTTAATACACAAATGGATAGATTTGGGAATATATTAAGTATAATGTAAACTGTTAGCAAAAAAAATAAATATCTGACATTTAGAGATAAAACAGAAATGGAATAGAGAAACTCACAAAAAAGCAAAGAGATGAGTCACTTAAAGATAAACCTAGGCTCTTAGAGAGTCACATACAATGTAAGAACATGATATATATATATATATATATATATATATATATATATCTGTGTTGGTTTTAGGTATCTTCTTACCCAACTTTGGAAAAACTATTAAGTATTCAGCATTGCACTGAGGACATGCCACTCTGGCTGTACTGTTTCCTCTTTGTTTTTCATCCACCCAGCGCTGTAGACAAGCCTGGTGAACCCATTTTGTAGATCCTCTGCACCTGCATGGTCTCACCCATTCAGCTGTTCTATCATCTTCATCAGTGGCAAAACACACCCAGCAACTTCTGTAAATTAAGAGAGAAAACAATGATATTATTATTAACACTCCAGCCTCCTTTTCACTGCAGCTCCACTTAATGGGATGAACCTACTATGTTATATTACAGAACCTTAAATTCTATATTAAAAGACTGAGGGGAAAAATAACCAACACATTTCCAGTACAGGAGTTTCTCCTTTTTTCTTTTTTCCTTGTGTTCTGCAGAGTCTTGTGTTTTCTGAATTTTGTTTTTACATAACTTCCTCAATCTTTCTAGTAATTTTTCACCTTCTCGAATGAACCAGAATGCAAAGAGACAATCTTCAAGCTGCTTTTATAAGACCTGATAATTCTTGAGGAGTGGTAAGTACAGGAATATGTGAAATTCAGTGTATCTCCAATTTCAACAACATTAATCTTTTTAAAATATAAATTTATTTAATTGGAGGCTAATTACTATATTGTAGTGCTTTTGCCATACATTGACATGAATCCACCACAGGTGTACATGTGTTTCCCATCCTTTCAATTCTGGTTTCCTCAGTGTGTATGCCCAGCAGTGGGATTGCTGAGTCATATGGCAGTTCTATTTTCAGTTTTTTTAAGGAATCTCCACACTCTTCTCCATAGTGGCTGCACTAGTTTGCATTCCCACCAACAATGTAAGAGGGTTCCCTTTTCTCCACACCCTCTCCCGCATTTGTAGCTTGTAGACTTTTGGATAGCAGCCATTCTGACTGGTGTGAAATGGTACCTCACTGTGGTTTTGATTTGCATTTCTCTGATAGTGAGTGATATTGAGTATCTTTTCATGTGTTTGTTAGCCATCTGTATGTCTTCTTTGGAGAAATGTCTGTTTAGTTCTTTGGCCCATTTTTTGATTGGGTCATTTATTTTTTTGGAACTGAGCTGCAGGAGTTGCTTGTATATTTTTGAGATTAATTCTTTGTCAGTTGCTTCATTTGCTATTATTTTCTCCCATTCTGAAGGCTGTCTTTTCACCTTGCTTATAGTTTCCTTTGTTGTGCAAAAGCTTTTAATTTTAATCAGGTCCCATTTGTTTATTTTGGCTTTTATTTCCAATACTCTGAGAGGTGGGTCATAGAGGATCCTGCTGTGATTTATGTCAGAGAGTGTTTTGCCTATGTTTTCCTCTAGGAGTTTTATAGTTTCTGGTCTTACGTTTAGATCTTTAATCCATTTTGAGTTTATTTTTGTGTATGGTGTTAGAAAGTGTTCTAGTTTCATTCTTTTACAAGTGGTTAACCAGTTTTCCCAGCACCACTTGTTAGAGATTGTGTTTTCTCCATTGTATACTCTTGCCTCCTCTGTCGAAGATAAGGTGGCCATAGATGCGTGGATTTATCTCTGGGCTTTCTATTTTGTTCCATTGATGTATATTTCTGTCTCTGTGCCAGTACCATACTGTCTTGATGACTATAGCTTTGTACCTAAAGTCAGGTAGGTTGATTCCTCCAGTTCCATTCTCCTTTCTTAAAATTGCTTTGGCTATTTGAGATTCTTTGTATTTCCATACAAATTGTGAAATTATTTGTTCTAGTTCTGTGAAAAATACCGTTGGTAGCTTGATAGGGATTGCATTGAATCTATAGATTGCTTTGGGTAGTATACTCATTTTTCACTATATTGATTCTTCCAATCCATGAACATGGTATATTTTTCCATCTATTTGTGTCCTCTTTGATTTCTTCATCAGTGTTTTATAGTTTTCATTACATAGGTCTTTTGTTTCTTTAGGTAGATATATTCCTAATTATTTTATTCTGTTCATTGCAATAGTGAATGGATTTTTTCCTTAATTTCTCTGTTTTCTTACTGTTAGTGTATAGGAATGCAAGGGAATTCTGTGTGTTAATTTTATATCCTACAACTTTACTATATTCATTGATTAGCTCTAGTAATTTTCTGGTGGAGTCTTTAGGGTTTTCTATGTAGAGGATCATGTCATTTGCAAACAGTGAGAGTTTTACTTCTTCTTTTCCAATCTGGATCCTTTTATTTCTTTTTTTGCTCTGATTGCTGTGGCCAAAACTTCCAAAATTATGTTGAATAGTAGTGGTGAGAGTGGGCACCCTTGTCTTGTTCTTGACTTTAGGGGAAATGCTTTCAATTTTTCACCATTGAGGATAATGTTTGCTGTGGGTTTGTCATATATAGCTTTTATTATAACATTAATCTCTTAACCTCTTGAACTTGGAGAACAAAAGTATTACATAAATGATTTCTCATTCAATTTTCACCTGAGAGAGAGAAAAAACCCAGCTCTTTCTGGTAAAGTATGACTATAAGAGAGAAAGATGATTAAATTTAAAAGCACAAAGGAAAGAATAGATGAAGACATCAGGATAAATTGCTTTTGGATAGTGAGATGATAAATTTGGGCTTACGTGTTTCCATTATAGGTATGAGTGGCTTTCCTTTTTTCTGGGAATTAAATTATATTTATTATATTTGAAACCTAGAAATCTCAAGTCTGGGATGCCTGTATTATAAAAAGAATCTTTATTGAGATGGTTAATTTTTAAACTTTTTCCCATTTTGCTCTTAAGGGTACTTCATGAACTCTAATTTGTTCTTGTGGAATTAGGTTGCAATTCCTTATTTTTTCCTCCCAATTAACACAAGTTTTGACATCTATTTCCACTAGGGCAAATATTACAGTTTAACTCAATGACATCATTCACTCCCTTCTATTACCACTGCACAAGAGGAAAACAACTGCTAATTAAAGCTTGTCACCTACTGTGCACTTTTCACTTAATTAGATAAGTTGGCTTCTGTTACAAAACTAGCTTAACTATGCTCAGTGGGAAAGACTTATATAGTCAGGTACTGTAGATAAGTCTCCAGTCTTTGTAGATCAACATGAATTTTAATCGAATGCACCAATTAAAACTTCTTAGAATAGGGGGAAAAAACTGAACTGAATACATGGTAACAATACCCAAAATTGTGTTTTTACTCAGCTTTCAAAATCAGATTTCATATGACCTACCTAGGTAATACTGGAGGGAGGCAACATTTGTTTGAGCATGCTTGACTGTCTGACTCACCTCAGCCAATATGTCTGGGCCCTTGTTCTATATAAAGGATAAACAGAAATGTCTCCTCCTCTACCTTATTTTTGTTAACTTTACTGTGGTAAAATATACACAACATAAAATTTACTACTTTAACCATTTTTAAGACTACAATTCAGTAGCACTAAGTCATTCACACTGTTGTCCAACCATCACTACTACCTGTGATTTGACTGGGTTTAAACCTAGTTTTTTTCATAAAATTTCAGTTGACAAGTATAGAGCAAATAGGCCAGTTATTTGCAGTATTAGTATATATATTTCCCCATAACCAAGGTAATTTTGTAAATATATTTGTTTATCGTTGGCAGAATGAAATGTATTATTTTGGTAACAAAATATAGGCAGAAATATCTAGAAACTAGACTTCTAGGTTCTTGTAAGTTTTTCATATCAACAATGGAACATACATGTAGCTAAATGAAACTGAATCAAAAATTAAGCCAATTTCCAGTCATCAGGAAAAAACAAAATGTAAAAATATTAATTCAGTTCAGTCACTCAGTCGTGTCTGACTCTTTGCGACCCCATGAATCGCAACAAGCCAGGCCTCCCTGTCCATCACCAACTCCTGGAGTTTACCCAAACTCATGTCCATCGAGTCGGTGATGCGATCCAACCATTTCATCCTCTGTTGTCCCCTTCTCCTCCTGCCCCCAATCCCTCCCAGCATCAGGGTCTTTTCCAATGAGTCAACTCTTCACATGAGGTGGCCAAAGTACTGGAGTTTCAGCTTCAGCATCAGTCCTTCCAATGAACACCCAGGACTAAGGATTAATTAGGTTGAACCAAATGAACTGCCTATATTTATGTTTTTAACTTGTATTTAAATGGCAGTTTCACATATCAATCTAATGGGAATATTTGTATAGCTATAATCCCTACAAATTCTGGATAAGAATAAGCCTATTTCCACACTGCCCCCCCCAATTAATATGAAAAATTTCAAACTTTGAGTATACAGCTTAAAAATTTGGATTTTTAAGCTAATGCTCACTAGAGATTAACTGAAATTATTCTATAGAAGGGATACTTAAAAAAAGAACCCTATTGATAACAATACTCCCAAAAGGTTTGCTGATTTTCAACATTTACCAATTTACCACATACACTTTCCATTTATTCTAATCACTTAACATTACATCTGATGGTCATCTGAGATCAAATAGTACTGCCCACAATATGTAAATTCCCAATAATACCACCAAATTACTCCATCTAAAAATTATAACTTAGATGCAAATAAATATGAAGACTTATAACTTAATAGTACAAAACAAGCACACAAAAGAAATTGCCAGTAACATACACTGTGCATTCACTGATTCCATGTAGTTTCACTGGTTCCATGAAGCTACATAAACAAAATAAATGGAAGCGTGTACCTATCCAGAAAACTATAATTTAATTTGGGCTACATCTAGCAGATACAAGATATTTACAGTTCCAGTGAAATTACCAAAGGTATATCCTTCCCTATTTTAAGAAGAAGGAAGGATCAATCTGGATAGATCAGAGAAGGCTTCAGGAAGGCGTGACAGAAGAAATTTGCAGGGACAAGTGATTTTACCATAGGGATTCTCAAAACAAAGTTCTCTGAGACCAGCAGTTCAAAATCACTAGGAAACTTGCAAATTCTCTGGCTCTACTCCAGACCTAGTAAATACAAAACTCGACAGGAAGAGGGCCTAGAAATCTGTTTTAACAAACCCTCAAGGTGACGAGATATTTAGTTTGGGAACTGCTAGTACAGAAAAATGGCAGCTTAAAAAAAAGCAGAGAGACTGGAGAAAGCAAACTGTGTGAAAGGGATAATTACTGGACTTACTTAAGGTAGAAATAATAGCTTCTGATGACTATATTTTTAATATAAATAACAGTACAGAAAATGTTAAGTTCTAAAGAATTTGTTAACTGATACACA